TCCCCCTCCCCTCGCCTCCCCCCGCCTCCCCCCCGCACCAGCTTGGATATGCCTTTTTAAGAAGTTATTTAGAGTTCATATCTGTCACATCTATTTAACGCCCGCGGGGTGATGTTCCGGGGGGATCCTGACACCGGCTGATCCTGCCCGTCCTCCCTCCCCGCCTCTGCAGGTGTCCCTGTGAAGGTCACCAACGCCGGGGACGGAGCCACTCGTTGCTCGGCCCTGGAGCTCTTCATGTACCTGAACGACATCGCGTGAGTGCCATGCTGTCCCCTGCCATTTGCCCGCCGGCTGGCAGCGGGGACAAGGGCAGTGTCCCCAGGGTGGGGTGAAAGCGGGATGCTCGCAGCAGGGGCGTCCCGATGAGCCCAGGGATGGCGGTCAGCAGCGTGAGGATGGGATGGTCCCAGTTGGGTCCCAGTTGTGCCATTCATGCCAGCAAGCAGAGCTGGGCGCCGAGGCCAGGAGCGGGGGGGTATTTAAGGTTTATGGTCCCTGTGCATGAGAAGGGCTAAGAAGTCTTATTAACCCCCTGTGCATTTGCCGTCTGCCCCAGCCGCATGGTTGGGCGAGGGCTGCCCTGCCCACGGCGGGGGGGCTCAGCCCTGAGGCACCCCTTGCCTGCAAGGGCACCCTTTGCCCCTGCTCCCAGCTCAGCCCCAGGCGCCCAGCTCCTGCATCCCAGGGGGCATTGCCTCGCCCTGCCTGCCCGAGGGGGCTCAGTGTCCCTTTTGGGTGGAGAGTTGGCTTTTTTGGGGCACGGAGATGTGCTGGCTGCGTCCGTTGGCCCTGTCCTACCCCTGCCTCCGCAGCGGCAGCTCCTTCGGGCTTTTGTGCCCTGTGCCACCCCTTGCCCGGTTTCTGCTGCCACCGGGGCAGAGCCATCCCCAGGGGCTTGCCTAAAAAATCAGGCAGCGCCCACAAGGGCACCCGCTCCTCCCACCCCACACCAAGTGCCACCCAGTCCCCGGCCGTCCTCCTTTGTGCCTCTGCCTTTATCTTCCCGGTGCTGAATGGGAATGAACTTTTCCATGTAGCTATCTTTTTAAATGTTAATTAAGTGGTTTTAAAATGACTTAGTCCATCGGGAATACAGCTGCGGCGTGTCCTGTCCCCTTCCCCTTGCCTGGTTTATTTTCAAGTGTCCCAGGTGCCACAGCTGCCTGCGGCACTGCCAGCCCCAGCAGCGAGCGAGGATGGAGAGGCTGGTGGCACAGCAAAGAGGAGGGGAAAAGGCGAGAAAAATCCATCTCCTTGTCACTTGTCCTATTCGGGGGTCACTACCAACGGTCACCATGCTGTCATTTGGGGTTTGCCCCCCGTCGTCCCCCTGCCTCAACCCACTTCTCGTGGCCACCTGCGTCCCGCTGCAGGGCTGGGGCTGCTGCAACCTCCCTTCTCCTCCGCAGGGGCAAGCACGGCGTCGGGCGCATCGACATCGTGGAGAACCGCTTCGTCGGGATGAAGTCCAGAGGTGAGCGGCCACCGGCCAGCGGTGCTGTCCCTGCCCTAAAAACAGCAAAAAAAGGGAAAACCCCGGTGGGACGTGGGGGATGCTCAGCATCGCCAGAGTGCTCTGGCTCAGGCCATGCCAGCAGCCCTTAACCGCTCCCTTCCCATCAGCTTTTGACCGAGATTTCCCTGTGACAGGGAGTTCTCACTGGTCTCTAATGAAGGCAGCTGCCCGCTTGCTGCCAGTGTAAATAACGAGAGGGCTCATAATCATTTCCCATCTCCTTGCCCCTGCTCTTTTGTTTTAAATCTCGTTAATATCTAATTAGATGCTCTCTTCCTTTAAACTTGCCCTTCGTGCAGGGCATCGGCAAATATTTTGATAAGACTCAGCCCGCGGTCTCCCTCCCCACCGCAGGGCACCGGCCCCTTTGCAAGAGCATCAGCCATGAAAAGCAAGAAACAAAACCCCAAATCATTTGATCTGAGTTTGAATAATCCCATTAAAACTGAAAGAAGAAAAAAAAAAAAACCAACCCAACCCCAAACCGCACACACCAGCCTGTGCATTTGCATGCAGGATGCTGAGTAATTTGTCAAAATCTGTTTTATTTTTTTAAGAGCCACTGACATGCTCTAGTGACCCTTCCAGCATTTAATAATTTCTCTAAACCCCATTTAACTGTCATGTCTTTCTCCTGTGTGACATTGCCAAGCGATCACCGCCGTGTTTGTGCACCGGCAGACGCGGGAGGACCAGGCTTTCTGGGGACAGCGGGGGCGCGCGCACCGCGGGGGCAAGACCTTGGCGGCGGGTTTTCCCCCTTGCTTTGAGCAGGATCCTGCCCCCGGTTTTGCTCCTTGGGATTAGCAGAAACCTCTCCAAAATCTGCTCCGAGAAATGCTCTGCAGGAGAGATGGAGAGCTGGGACGGGAGGGGGCTGGAGGAGGAGGGTGCTGCCGGTACCTGTCTCCCCCCTCGGGGGTTTTGGGGTGCAGGGCAGCTCGGGGTGGCCCCACCACCGCTCTGCAGGAGCTTTTTGGACCCCAACTGGGGTTAGGGTCAACAGGGCAGGAGATGGGACCTGGGCTCGCAGGCGGGAGGAGACGATCCCTTAAATCACAGCGGTGTGCGGTGGCCCCAGTGGCTGTTTGCTCCCACCACCTCGGGGCTCCTCGGGGCAGCACAGGGACGCCTTCTCCCCGGGGACCCCCCCTCTGCAGGGGAAACTGAGGCACGGGCAGTCAGCAGCACAGCAAGAGCCCTCCACGGCCATGGAGGTGGCAGCGAAGGCTCCCGCCAGGTGCCTCCTCTCCCTCACCTCCTGGACCCAGGGAGTTGGGGAAGAGAAAAATTCATTTGCATTGATTTTTACTAAGCTCCTAATTGAACTTCGTTAAGGCCTAATGGGCGAGGGGTGAGCTGAGCGTGCCCGCGCCAGCCTTTTAAGCCCTATTAACTCGATTTTGCCGTATTTGTTTTAGTGGGAGGAGGGTGGGTAATTACAGGGTGCCGGGGAGCAGCACTGCAGCCGGCTGGGGGGGCCACGGCCTGGCCGGGGGCTCTTGGCTGCGAGCAGGAGCCCAGCCCTGCCTCTCCCGCCTTTTCACATCCTCATTATCAAATTATCTTTTTAACTCCAAAGGGGGGCTAATTAAGTGAAGTAAATGAAATCAGTGGGGAGGAAGCAGGAAGGAGGGGACGGCCGCTGCCAAAAGAGCCGAGCGCTGCCTTAGGCTGGGGCTTTTCCTCCTTCCTTTTCCCTTTTCCTCCCCTCGATGCGCTGAGCAGATGGAAGAGGAAAGCAGAAAAACCTTTCGCTGCAATGAACCCGTACTAGGCCACGCTCAGCCTCAGCTCTGGACCAGCAGTGGAAATTTGGGCAGCATCTTCCCATGGGCAGCATTGCCCTCCCCTTCCCCTCGGGAAGCCACTGCATCCCATCCTGTCCCACGGATGCTGTCGGGAGTGACAGCCCGCACTCAACACAGCAAAATTGCTCAGATGGAGGTGAACTGACAGCTGAGGTTACAAATTAGAAAATTTTAAGCAGTGGCAGCTGTCTCCTTGGCTGGCCCCCCCATCCCCCCCCCCGCTCCGGTCCCCCCCTTCCCCAGCGGTAATTACGGGGGGATTGAAGCTTCGCCAGGCTGCAGTGCTGACACCTCTGTCTTTTTCCTGTAAACACGGGGAGATGAAAATAGACACTTGGAGACGCTGCGAGTGTCACTTTGAAGGTGTCTCTTGTCTTGGTGGCAGGGCTGGGAGCGTGGCTATCAGCTCCCCTCCCCTCCACCCCGGCTGTCATGCTCCGGTCCCCGGTCCTTTAGCATCAGGTCGAACGGGATGGGTAGGGGTGCAGATGGGCAGGAGGTGGGGGTCAAGACACGAACCCAAACCTTTGGTCAGCCCAAATTTGCTTTAATACCTCCTAAGGGGAAGGAGAGTGAATATTAATTGCGTTAGCTTCGTGGTCAGGGTCTGCAGCAGCCCTCCGTACCCCTGTGCCACTGCCGTGCCTGTGGCGATGGCTGGTTTTTGGTGTTAACTCGCCTGTCTCCTCCCGCAGTTCCGTGGGGATGGGTGCTCAGTGAGCACCCCTTGACCTGCCCCCGGGGACCAGGCTGCAACATTGCTGGGGTGGCCTGAGAGGAGGGGGTGGCTCTCCTTTGGGACAGAGACCTGTCCCGTGCCTGTAGGATGCTGAGATCACGGACCCTGGTAAGGATGAGGTTTGATGGAAGTGGCTTGAGCTGCCGTGGTAGACAGGGCTCCTCCGTGTCGGCGGGACCTGGGGCCACCCCAGGATGGGACCCCGCTTCAGCCTGTGCCACTCTCCAGGGCACTGAGCGGGCAGAGCCCGGTGCAGGTTTGAGGCCCCCTGACAGCCCTGCAGGCTCCCCTCAACCCCTCGCAGGGCTGGGGCTGGTTGGGGACGCATCCCCTTTGGCGGGGACAGTTTTCTATGGGGTTTCTTTTTGTGCCAGCAAAACCCAACGTGTGGGTGCCCTTTGCCATTCATATGGCCATGCCATAGCACAGATGCTTGGCATTGGGAGGGGACCGTCCCCACGGGCGGGCAGGGGACAGGGACGTGCTGGTGGAGCAGCCCTGGCCACGGGCAGGTTACAGCCCTGCCCGCCGCGTGTTCGTTGCCAGACTAAGTCAGCATTTCCCCCACCGGCTTTCCACCCGCATCCCACCTGGAGCGGAGCACCGCATGGCCACCCTCGTATTTAAACACCAAGTAAACATGTTATGCGGCAAATAAGCCCCGAGCAGCTGGAACAAAGGGAGCAGCTCGCCCGCAGCGTTAGCCCCCATCGCCGAAATAATTAAGCATCCCTCCATCCCCAGGCCTCGTGCAACGGGGGCGCAGGTGGGAAGGGAGGGGGGCTCTGCCAGCCCCAAATGAGGTTGCCCTCTCAGCCCCCAGGTAGCCTCATTGCTTCGCAGAGGACACGTGGGGCTCTTTCTCGCCAGCCGAGGGGAGAGGAGCGTATTTCAGGCCCTCCGCTCCCCGTGCCTGTGCCCCGCGTCGTTCCTTTAATTACAGGTTTTCAGCCGCAGACCGTTGGGCATGGATCGGTGGGGGGATCGGTTCCCAAACCCTGTCATTTAGCCTCGTCAGAGTGCCTCTTCAAAGAGGGGAATCTAGAAATTTTCTCCGCAAGGTGCGGAGTGGACTGTCTCGGCCCCAGCATGAATATAATGACAGATGCATTTTACGGCAAGCTGGGACTGAATGCGCTCGACCACAGCTCCTTCTGTCAGCCAAATCATTATTTTTTGTCATTTGCTGACAGTTTTGGTCTCATTCATTTCTCTCTCTTTTTCTGCTTTTCCCCCTGCCTGGAAAAATGGCTAGGTATCTATGAGACCCCAGCGGGAACGATCCTATACCATGCGCATTTAGATATCGAGGCCTTCACCATGGACCGGGAAGTACGGAAAATCAAGCAGGGGCTCGCCTTGAAATTCTCCGAGCTGGTGTACAACGGTATGGTCCTTCCGCCCTGCCCTGCCGCTGCGGCATCCTCCCAGCCCTCCTCATCCTCTTCCTTCGTTGCTACCGGAGGCTGCGGGTCCCGCTGGTACATCCACTCAGGGCTGTAAAATTCAGATGTGGATTTTGAGGCTACTCACGGGGAAAAAGATGGGTTTGCTCGTGCCAAGGGCTGAGCTCGACCCCACACTCTGCCCGCTTTCGTGCCGAAGGGGCTCCACGCCTGCCTTCGGGAGGTGACGCCGCCTTCCATGAGGGCTTGGTGGTGGGGGATGCTCCCGGCATCGCTCCCAGCCCGGTGCCACCGCTTCGTCCCATCCAACACATTTGGATGTCTCACAGGCTGTAAGTCGCCGTCCTTTCGTCCCCCCCAACACCGCCTTTCCCCAGCTCTCCCCTCTGACCCCCTCCATCTCGCCTGCCCTCCTCACCCCATGGGGACCGGAGCACGCCGGGATATGGGGCACAGGAGCACCCAAGCTGCCAGCATGGCCATCCCGGCGGTGGGGTTTGAAGCCAGAGACCTCTCTCCGTGCACCGGCGCGGGGAAGCGCAGGGCTGCATGGCACGGGGGGCTCTCGAGGTGCCGTGGCCCTGGCCGCCGGGGTCCTGGGGGGCTGCGGGAGGGGATGGGAGGGTCCGGGCCGTGCTATGCGGTGTGCAGCCCACACAGGGGCACTGCGGGTTGTGGCTTTGCCGGGGGCTGCAGGGGGGGGTTTCC